CTTTCCCATTCATACAGTTAAGACCACATGCACAACTCTCTTCTTAGGCAAAATATTTTAATCTGGAGAACCTCTTGAAAAGTTTCCAAAGGCAAATGCCCCCCCATTCCATCACAGGGAAGCTGTTCTTCCTGCTATGAAGGACAGCAGACAGATGCCAGGACTCCAGCTTCATCAGATGCCAAAGCTGAGCAGAACTTTTCCCAAGTCTACTATCTTAGAAGAAACCTTGTGGCAAAAAAAGAATTTAAGTGTTACCTGTTTTGTCCTGAGATTACTACCCAGATTTTTGCCTCAAGGTACAATTAAGACAATCTTTTTACAGGACAGTTATGTCTTGTTCACTTCTGCGTTGTAAAACATTACATTTGTGTAAAACATCTACATTTGAAAAGGGGAAGACTGGAGACACCTACTTTTCACCTAGCACAGTGTAGAACTGCTACAGCTGTGGAAGGGGATCCTAAACCTGGAATTTATGTCTCTGCCACAAAGAGGTTTGATTACACTGTAGTGAAGCATTCAAAAAGAAAAACAGTTTGAGTAAATAGAGGAATTTAAAAAAAAAAAAAAAAAACGAAAAACCACCAAACTTCCTTCTGAAGGAAGAGGAAGCAATCCTGAAAAACTAAGTTCTAGAGAGTTTTTAACTAGGTGTTCACAAATGCAGTGTCTCCCTGTTTCAACAGGACACAAACATTACTGTTGCCCCAGACACTGCAAACTTCCCATGCTTACCTGAAGTAATCTTACCTTTCCAAGTATGATGTGGTAGCTAGATTGTATCTTGTTAAACAGTATGTGTCATTCTTCTCTGGAGAATTAACTACTTGGGCTATATCTTTTACCCCATCCTCAATCTGCTCTTCTGTTTTATGTTTTCCTTTCTTTTTTGTATGTTCTTTAGTCTTGTGCTTTTTATTCTTTTTTGGCAAGGTATCTTCTCTCTGCTTCAAATCTAAATCGGTTTCTTTTTTTATCATTTCGCTGCTAGTTTCTGCCTTCTTCTCATCATTCTCTGCTTTTTGGCCATCCTCACAGCAGAGATCCCTAAAGGCCTCCTGAACCTGCTCGACGGACAAATTTGGTTCCTCGCTGATTTCCACTACCTCACTTAAGTGAGCTTCTACCACAGTTCCCACTAAAAAAGAAAGATTGAAGAAAGTACATCTGTGATTAACTACAACTAAAGATAAGTTAATGTTTTAGGCAGATCTCCAAAATCTTAAAGCTTTAAGTGAGAATGGAAGTTAAATATGTGTTGAGTATGAGCCACAGCAATTTAAATTACTAATAATTTTAGTCACCTTCAAGAACCTGCAACCTGAAAACTAAAGCTAAGTACATCCTGAGAAGTCATTCTCTTCCTTCCCAAGTACAGCAGGTCTGAACAAGTTTCTGGGATAAAATACTTGTCAGGTTATGTTACATTGAACAGGAATGTTTATGGCTACTTTGCTTCCAAAGTTGGAATATATACCACCTTTAATTGACACTGTGTCATAACACAACCATGCATCTACTAGGAGTTTGTGTAAGAGAACTGATTTTTAGCTCACAAGAATGTTTTTATTTACTCTTTGATTATCAGGCTAAAATAGCTGGACAACATTGCTTTGATAGGGTTTAAGTAGAAAGTTTGAATACAAAAATATCTCCACTACTCATTTTAACGTGCCTGCAATTGAAATGAATTAGTTTAGTCAAGGTTGTTTTCAAAGACAATTGAGTACAAAACTATCACAGAGAAGTTTTCATGAAACAGAATTTAATATAGGCACAAATAGCTTAAACGGTTAGCTTATGTTGCCTGTCAAGCCAGACATTTAACTAGAACAGAGTACTCAGACTTACCATCCTCAGACTTAAAAAGGCTTTCAGTATTTTTCATAGTATCTATTAGTGTGTGTCGCAAGTCATCTTTAGGCTGGAAAAAAGTTGTATTGTTTTAGAAAAACAATTCCAAAATTAATCACCATTTCAGCTTATTTGGTATAACAGTTACAGGGGAAGTGGTACAGACCACATGATGTTATAAACTCTTCATTTAATGCTGTTCAGACCTGAGTCAGAACACAAGTGAATCCTGTATTTGCTGCCCTGAAATCTCACTGATATTAAAGTACAGGAATTAAGTCCATCAGTAAATGTAAAAAATAAGTTCTGTTTGGGTTTCTAGTGATACTAGAAGTCTTAGTCCTTAATTTCTTCTAGGTGGAACATCATACAGTATTTTGATGGTCCTAAACCTTTCTTCTTGAAAGTATCTACAGTGCTTACAGAGCAACCCAAATCCAATTTATGTTCAAATAGATCACATGACTCTCTTCACTATAACAGGTTTTATTAAAAAAAATCAGAAGTAGTTGTATTATATACCATACTCTCATGCCTTTATATTTGTTAATCTCAAACTTGAAGGCAAGCTGCTCACCATTGCTCCTGCCAAAATGGCCTCCTCATAGACAGCAATAAGCTTTTCAAGAGGGCCCATCTGTTCGAGACGCATGCAGCAGATCCAATATTTCGCAAGTTTTTTAGCCCCAGGAAGGCTCTGTGTCAGATCTTCCAACATGGCACGTACTTCATCACCTTGACATCCCTAAAGTCAACATAAGAGCAGAGATTTAAATGCAGTGAACAATTTGAGGTGCTGTATTATAGCTGGTTTTGAACTAGAAAGTTCCTCTCCTTCTTTGGAGAGGAACCCTGAAAGTTGAAGATGGAAATTATTTCCAAGAACTATGAAACTGAGCAGAACAGTCATTCACCTATTCTTCCAAATGAGAATTATTCATACAGTATTGGAAGTAGAAGGGATAGTAGAATGCATAGACACCTTCAGAACTACTTAAACCAGACTTTTTCAGAAGTCCAGGCAAGTTTCTGCAAATGCAAACTTGTGTTAGATTAATTACTTCATAGCTACTCTCATTACATTACAGATTTTCTACTTGATTATGTTACCATTTTTGCCTGATCTTATTGAGTTGTTCAGTAAGTTAGCAAAACTTAAGTGAGAACTAAATTTCTTCAGGTGTCAGCAAAAAGCTGATATTGCTTAATGCGGGGAGCAATTAGTCTCTTGCATCTGATTGATAGGTCCAGCACACCTGTAGGGCTTGCACATTGTAGGGACCTACATGATTAGAACTTGGTAGGCAAAGGACTGAATACCTGTTCAGTTAACTGCAGACATTCTGCGAGAGTCTTGTTGACCTTTTCACTATGTAATACATGCTCTATAGAATCACCAGAAGAGAATTCTTGTTGTTTGCTTTTAGACTGGGGTCCCAGAAGCACAGATATAGGAGGTCTCCTCATTACTTTTCCTCTAGATGTCCTCCATAAATCCAGGCGAGCTCTGCATTTAAAATATTATTAGCTTAAGTGACAGATGTTTTATCATTTTTTGCATTGACTGACACTAACTAGGGTAAGGCACACATGGGTGTACCTTCCAGATAGTCCTTGAGTCCTCTCCCTTTAATGCTAAAAGGAATGCAGGTGCCATTTAGACCCTCCGTGGGAATTTCAGAACCATGCATATCACTATCTGCTTTAGGTATCTTATCAGGTCAGAACACTTTAATCTCTCCCTTTCCAGCAGAAACAAGAGACTTACGCTACAGACCCTTTTTTCCAAGGGGGTAAAAAAAATGCTTCCGATTTATTCATCCATGCCACCTCTCTTCCTTAATCCCACTCCAAACCAGAAAACTAGAAGTTGTCTCAAAAGACACAAAGCATGGAGAGCAGCCCAGAACAACCCTATCACACAGCTTTTAAAATCTGAAACGGACATGTAAGTGTAATTCAGTCTTCTTATGTATTTAATTTCAACCCAACCCCCCTAGACCACCAGTTTTTAGTAAATGTGACTTTGTACAAGGAGCTCTACCAAGAAGTTACCAAGTAACTTCTAGATTATGAATCTTCACCCCATCATCTAAGCTGCATTCGCCAAGCTGAAAGATAAGTCATTGACAAGCGCTCTCCTTCAGTCCATAAACGTACTCACTTCTATATACATGCTGCAGTAATTTTTTTTTTAAAAAAAAAAACCTGCATGGGCAGTTTGCTTACAGGATTATGTCATGCTTAAGGCTGTCACAACACTTAGCCTAAAAACCAGAGAGCTTGAGCAATATACATTTTCTATTTATAACCGCACAGGACAAGTTGTAAGCCCAAAGAGCTGCTGCAATTAGTCTGAATCCAGATTTCTCAGTATTAAGTCTACAGTTTCAGTCTGCTGCCCTCGGGCATCAAGTTCAAACACTCGGTTCTTATTTTTCAGTGCACCTACAGCAAGAAAGAGATCAAAACAGGTATTCTTGGAAAGAAGGTCTAACTACCTCCCAAGACCAAGCTACGACAGCAAGTAATTCGGTTACCTTCTCTCTTCTGCTGACTCTTTTGGCAGAACAGAATTTCTGTTGCCATTAGTTTTAAAATCCTGTCCTGACTTTATATCAGGAACAGAAATGGCTTTTGCTGGAGCTTCCGGTCTCACATCTTCACAAGCATCTGCACATTTCTTCCCTCCTAGTGCTCTGCAGTCAAAATTTCTAGAAGCAGCCTTCAAAGTCTGTGGTCCCCTTCCACCAGTCATTTTTTGGACCGTTGCTTTCTTTGGCACTACAGATGTCGGCTGCTGTTTTTTCAGACTGGACTGTGAGTTAATAGCAGCTTTGGCAGATGGTTTGCTCTGGAGTGGGAGGACACCATTTGGCTTTACAGAATTAGGGTATTTTGTGACTTTGATGGTCTTCTGAACTACACTACAGGTGCTTGTGGACAAAGATCTTGCTGCTGGTTTGGTGGCAAGAGGAAGAAGCTTCTTCTCTGGCAAAGAACTTTTTTCCCCCTCACTTTTTGGTGCTTTTCGGAATGAGTTTATCTTGGATTGGATAACTTTGCCACGATATGTACCAAGCACTGGTTTCTTTGGTAGGCTGACAGTTGAATTTTGTTTTTCTGCAATCAATTGCTTCTCTTTTATGCTTTTTATTTGCAAGAAGGACTTACTAAGTGACACATGCTGAGATTTTATTTCAGATACTTCATCCTTGGAAGCATGATCCTCAGGATTATAGTTGGTGCCTGTTATGGAATTTGTCAGTGTGATTGTGGAAGACTTTAAATTAACATTTTTTTCTGAGGTTCCACTTGACTGATCCCATGACAGTTTATTAGCATTCTCTTTATTTTCCTGAAATTAAAAGCATATCCATGGAGATGTTAGAAGTACATTCATGCTGCATGTTACTTGTTTCTAAAGAGGCTTTCACTCATTTACAGGACTGAAGTGATTAACAGTAAATGCCACTTTAAAAGTATCTGCAAAAGTAATACATATATATATATAGACTTAGAATATTTGTCAACTATTATTGCAGAATTCACATCAAAAATCAAGTATGGATTATTTAAACTCTGCCTTGGAAGTAAGAAGGCCAACCCTGAGGGCTACACTCTTCTTACAGAAACAACTCTCTTAAAGCAACTGCTGGCTTTTAGCTGCCAAAATCACCTTCTAAGAAGAGTCGTAAAGTAGAAACTTGCTTTAGGCTGTACATAGTCAAAAGCAGTATCTCAGTCTGCATTCCCCATCACTTAATGGCAGCACCTCTTGACGTGGATAGCCTACTAACTAGAGGTAGTGAGTAAAGCGTGTAGTTAGGATACATTACCAGAAGAGGGAGATTTTTTTTTTTCTTACTAATGAGCCATAGGATGCTGTAGTTAAGAATAGATATGTGAGTTTTGTATGGCCTTACTACTCCCTGAAACTGTCAACCATATGTTCTCAGCAGAACACTAGCCCAGAGGCCATGAGAAGTGAGACCTGTTTTTTTTCCTTCAAAGAAGATGCTCTACAGCAACTAATTCAGCATTGTCCAAGCAGCAGCTTATGGAAGAGTGAAAGATCCAAAGGCAGAAAAAAAAATAAAAATATGTGAATAACTCATGGAAATCTGCAGAAGCTGGTACTCTTCTCCTTTAAGGAAGATGCCCTTGAATTGTAAGAAAACTACACTGCACCTCATTTCCTCATCTGTTATTCAGGCTTAGAAGTTATATTTGACCAAGCCAATAAATAGAGCTTGAGTACAAGCGTTGCTGTTTAAGGAAGCTATGTAGTTTAACTCAACTTTGAAATCACATGAGACATTAACACAGGCCAAAATATCTCCCTTCAGGAGATTTCTAACACACATTTGTTATCACTTTTGGAATTGTTCCCCTCAACACTCAGTTTTGAAGTTTTAAGTTTTTTGCTTTCCTCCTCAAATAACCCCAGGTGTCTCAAATCTTTCGGAACCCAAACTCAAACCCATCTAATATGAATACAGGTTTTGTGTCTATTTTTTCCTCACCTCTCCCTGAGAACAGGTCTGGAGAAGAATCTGTATTTTACTATTTCTAAGCAGCACAACCACATGCATCTTAATTCTGGAAAAGTGACACAATGATATAGAGAAGATGTTCCCTTGAACTCTGATTAGGTATTACCATCTACTTCTGATTACATTAGGTTTGCCAGCAACACCAGTTTGTTTTGTTAGTAGCTTGTTTTTTTCCCCAAGTAACAGATTACAGTAATAGAAGAATTTTCTACTCCGACAGAAAACCTTGCTCAGATTTTGAATAACTTTGCTGAAGACTGAAAATATATCCAAAATGTACGGAGAGTCTCAAGAAAAGTTGTTAAATTTTAATCATTGTTCCAGCAATAATGGTGTCCTCTTTAAACCCCTCTCCAGTCAGGTACAAGCTGAATATCAATACCTCTCCAGTCAGGTACAAGCTGAATATCAATATGAACCATTATATAGAGTAATGCAACAACTCTCTAAAAAGCATATATTAAGCAGTCACTGAATAAAGTTTTAACAAACTCCATTTCTGCACCTGCAAACTTCTCATGCTCTGTTAGTTGTGTAACTTAAATACAGTTTAAGTGAGTGGAACATTGTAGCCACAGAAACAGTGTGCCATTGGTATTTGAATATCCATCAAAAACTTACCATTCCTGGCTTTGGAGGTGATGAAAGCTGTATTTTGTCTCGTAGTTTATTGCTAGTTGCTCTCCTAGTTCTGCTACTGCAAAAAAAAAAAAAAAAAAAAAAAAAAAAAAAAAAGAAGCTATCTTAAATCTTAAATCATCCTGCAATATAACAAAAGAATGTACTTTTAGAGTAAGTTTCCATGGCCCAGGTAGCAGCCCGCAGGCTGAATTCATGCTGAAGCATTTTTTTTTTCAGCTTGTACTCTTCCTCCAGAAAAAAATAAATGGCTAAGCAACACTGGTCAGGGCCCAGGCTGCAAAACATCCCTTCTTGCACCATAAAGAGCTGGCTAACAGAGAGGAAGAAAAAGAGAACAGACCCTATTTACTGCAGGTGCCATTATCATGTTTAAGGATGAGCACCAACCTGTCTGGCCTGACATATCTGCTGCAGAAGGTCAAGTTTCTAAATGCTGCAGTTGAGGGGGAAGGGGGAGCAGTGCAAGGAGTTGAAACTCAGCTACTGCAATCATCAGAGGCCAGGCCATTTGAGGCAAGTCTGAACAAGGATACACAGTTCCTGCCACACTGACAGGTTCCAAAACCTGTAGTCAGGCATCAGAGCTGGTATCAGACTACCCAGTAACAAAACCATCAAGACCAGTATTGTCTCCTAGCAACTATGAAAACTTATTGACAGCTCAGAAGAAAAACATCTCAATTTAAAGTTACAAATAAAAATTCTTCCTCAAACACTTCATGATGCATTCACATATGAAACACGTGGCACTACTGCATGTGACTGAAAATTAACATTCCAGTTAGCAACTGATATCTTTGCATCAGATAATCTTCTGGAAGCTAGCAGAGTTGAAAACGAAGGTATGTTAGTGAAAATAACGACAGAGATGCATTAGTGACTTTGAAAAGCTGGAAGAAGCAGTCTGCATCATGTTATCACCTCTGTCATCCATGATAGAGAATACATGTTAAGGGAACCAAACAGAAGTGAGTGTGGAACAGTGATAGCTTCACAAAAAGGAAATATCTGCAAAATAAAAGCATTAGTTATACCCACATACATGATGGTTCTAAATAATGAGTTAACTGAAAACTATGAAAAGCCCTGGAATTTAATAGCCAGAGAAGAAACCAAAAGCAAGGAGAAGTAAAGTAGATCAAATGCTAAATTGAGAGCATTGCTACATTGAAAGTAGTTGGCACTGGTTTTCTAACACAAGGTAGCTTTCTACATGAAAGCACTTGCCTTTTCCTGCTACACAGAGCAAGTCTTTGACAGATTATGTTTACCCATATATTCATGCATATTTTATATTCAAGGGTCATTGTTCAGTTAGATTTGTACTACCAAGTAGTTCTGTGCTGTTGAACATGGGACCATGCCACCTCAAGTATGCTAAATGGTAAGCAAGACTTCCCATTTAGATGGGAATAAATTTCAGACAACTTACCATTCACAAAAACATGAAAATAAGTGACAAAGCTACACCATGAACTCATGCTAGTGCTAGAACCCTCTGTACTCCTTCACACCACTGTCTTCTCTAGAGAAACTTCTGTTGCTTATGGGAAGGTGTCCTGGTTTTGGCTGGGATAGAGTTAATTTTCTTCCTAGTAGCTGGCATAGTGCTGTGTTTTAGATTTAGGATGAGAATAATGTTGATAACACCCTGATGTTTTAGTTGTTGCTGAGCAGTGCTTACACGAAGTCAAGGACTTTTCAGCCTCTCATACTGCCCTGCCAGTGAGGAGGCTGGAGGTGCACAAGAAGCTGGGAGGGGGCACAGCCAGGACAGCTTACCCAAACTGGCCCAAGTGATATTCTATACCATATGACATCAAGCTGAAGAAAAAACTGGGGGGAGTTGGCTGGGGTGCACGCAGCTGCTGCTCAGGAGCTGGCTGGGGATTGGTCAGCATGTGGTGAGCAATTGCATTGTGCATCACTTGTTTTGTATATTCTTTTACCTTTATTATTTTCCCTTCTTTTTCTGTCTTACTGGCTTTATCTCAACTCACAAATTTTACCTTTTTTCCCATTCTCTTCCCCGTGCCACTGAGGGTGGGGAGGGAGTGAGCCAATGGCTGTGTGGTGTTTACCCGCCTGCTGGGTTCAACCACAACAGAAGGTCTTAGACTAAATGTCCAGACAACAGACAATGGCAAGAAGATGATTTAAATACAAGTCAATAAAAAAAAGCAATACTAATTGGAGATAGGTGCCCACATTCTGTTTACAGAACTTTATACCTACCTGCCGGCCATCATACAGGCTGGGGTTTATTACAGTGTATTTGCTTTTAGCAGAAACTAGTGAATTAGTAACAATAAAAATACAATGAAGCTAGATCAAATTGATTGAGAATGCATGCAGCATAGTGTGAGTAGAAAGCAGGGAAAAAATGTCACTTGCAGAAGGCAGGTTATAGAGGGAAACAGCAAAGTGGCATCTGCAATAAGAGTTCTGCCATGAAGGTATCCTGTCCTGCCCCAGTCTCTAGAGGAGCAGATAATATACTTCATGAATGGCATCTCTTATGCATTTGCTTAACAAAAACTTTTAATATTTGCTGACAATAAATGGACTTTAGGAAATTCATGTGGTCACCAGTCTCATTGCACGGTCTCACCTTTTGGTTGAGGTTCTCTGCAAGAACTGTTATTTGCATCTTTCCCACCAACCATGGACTTTTCTAAAGGAATGTAAGCCATAGCAGAGATACTACCTGATGGATGCCTGGTTTTCTTGAATGGGCACGCCAGAAAAGGTCTTTTTTCTTGATAGATATTCTTCAACTTTTTGTCGTCTTTGTTCTAGTGGGTTTAAAAAAAAAACAACCAAACATTACATTTTCAGCCAGACAAACTTTATCTCTTAGAAAAAAGGCAGTGCAATTAGAAAAGCATCAAGACATTATAAAACATAGACACCATGGATTAACAAAGTTTAGTTTAATATTCACATCTTACAATGTCTTACACATTTCTCTTTTCTTGAGAAAGGCTATATCCAAGGGGCGTTTGAATGTAATTTCACAGCTACACAATATACCTGTTTTGCTACACTAAGCAAAGAGAAACAAGATTTTGTTATCTGAAGAAATCAGGCTCACTCTTTTATCTGTTGGATGCCTGCCCAGTATTTAACATACTTACTGTTGGTTCAGCAAGCACACTTCTCACTTGTGACAGCAGTGAGGTAAGTATAGCACACATGAAAGACATTGTGCACGTGAACCAAACTGACCATCTATAAAATCATTTGCTTCTCTTCTGTTGTCATCTGGACATCTGCACAAACACTGGACCAATGGGAATGTTAATAACAGGAAAAAAATTATTCTGAAAAGGTCTGAAGCTGTCACTGTCTTAATACAGAAAGTCATTCCAGAACAGGGTACTATTTCCCATGTTTTCACTGGTTGACTTCACACCAGAGACTTATGTCCTTCATGGGACCACACTGTTGATCTTTTTCAGAGACCTTTCCTTATTCGCCTAGGGAGCTAGTGACCCTGGCTTGCTGGAAGCAGCTGGGATAAGAAGTTCCTGCCACACAAAGCAAGCTCAAGCATCTGCACAGCCAGTCTAGACAGCTAAGGCTCCAAGCCTTACAACTATTTCACATGCAGTGGGATGTGAGAGCAAGAAGTTAAAGCACTATCTTTGACTCGGAACAACAATTCCTTTATGGCATTCAGGAACTCGTGGCATTGTGCCATTCTCCATCACAGACAGGCTCATTCAGCAGTTGAAGCATTCAATGGACTTGCATATAAAACCCAATTTCTGCCCCTCCTTAGGCAGGCAAGAGTCCCCTTTTGAATCTGTTTGTACACGTTCCTTATCTTTCATATTTTGTCTTGCCCATTGTTCTTGATTCACACCACAGAAATGTCTGCAAGGTCCATCAACATCTTCCCTCAACGCTGAGATACTTCTGTATTACTGAAGTTCAGACAGTAGAAATTGTGAAAACATTATTGCCTTTCAGGACCTGAATGTTAATCCTGAAAAAAAGCATGCATTTGACTGCACATTCTCCATGATAAAAAGTTGTCATCTCACAGAATGGGGTAATTGCCCTCAGAACCTCCTCCCGGTATGGGAGGAGCAGAAAACGGCAAGCTCTTTCTCCTGCACTGGCACACCACAGCCTGAAACGCACAGACAGCAGGGTGGATTGAGACTTAGCCTTGCAGCAGCCCTGTGTTTCGCTTGGGGTGCAGTGCTTTTTTTAGCACAGCTGTCCAAGTCCACGCTGAATGAAGTCTGAGAGGCAGTGTACATCCCCCACTTCTGAAGAGGCGTAGACCAGAGATGCACACCAGAGGTGCGCCTGCCGGGGTGCTGCACAGCAGCGAGCTCAGCCTGCTCCGGACAGCCTCCCAGCCACCTTCTGCTTCACAAGCCCAGGTCTCCCCGACGCCAGACGGCAAAGCCCCATCAAAGCAATTCGGTTCGGTTAACTTGGAGAAGCCGAACCGGTCAGAAAGTAATAAACAGGAGAGTGCAGGCCTAGATCGGAGCATTTGCTTGTTTCAACAGGATGCCCTTACACGGAGGCGCACCTTTGAGCACGAAGAAAGGCTTTCACGCTGGAAGCCGGGCCGGGGCGCAGCGCGCCGGCCCCAGCCCTGCGAGGGGAGGGTGAAATCTCATCGGCCCGCTCGCACCCGTCAGAAGCTCTAAGGCCACAACAGCGGGCGCTGCTGCCAAGACCCATCCGCTCTCAGACCCCGCCTGAGGA